CAATTGTTCAACCTCTCAATGGAAGTGGCAATAACTCAGCCCAAGTGGGCTTTGGTCCCACAGGCCTAGCAACAGGCCTCGACTCTCGGCATGCTGTGACTTGGAGCCTGAGAGGACTGCTGCATTAGTCAAAAATTAATTAATGTATTGACTGGCATACTTTGGCAAAAATTATCATACTTGTCTAAACATCTCCAGATAATCCATCATTATTGGCACAAAGAGTCTGGAGAAATTCACTGCCTGGTAAACCAACCAGTGTATACTCACATTTATGAATTTGCAGTGGAAAGAGAAAAACAGTTTTCCTGGATTTCAGTTTTCTTTTCTGAAAAATGGCCATAAAATCTCCTAAGTTAGGCTTGTTGTAGGCATGGAATGAGATGATCCAGGCAAAGCACTTGGTGCAGAGTAAGTGCCTAATAAGTGGGGGGGAAGGTTTGGGTGCATAAATGATCTTTGGTGATGGAGAAGAGGAGAGTTCACACTCCACCAGAGAGGGTAAACTAACCCCCATTTTGTCAACTCAGCACGCCCACCACGCCTACCCACCCCCTGACCCTACTGAGGCTGGACTGCTCTGACTGACAAGTGCTTCCTATTAGGACAGATCCCAAAGCAACTCACCTAAATTCTGGAAAACATCAAACACACAGCATAAATACAGTCTTAAAACTAAAAAGTCTAGACTTGTATCCTGAAAACAACAAAACATTGTTGAAAGATATCAAAGAACTAAAGAAATGGGCTGGAAAGCCATCCTGTGTTCACGGACTGAGTTTTCCCCCAAACTGATGACAAATTCCACGAAATTTCTATTAAAATCTCAGCTGACTACTTTTGCAGAAATAGCTGATCTTAAAATTCACATGGAAATGCAAAGGACTCAGAGTAGCCAAAAAATCTTGAAAAGAAGAAAGTTGTAGGACTCACACTTCCAGAGAGTGTTGTATTGGTATACAGACAGACATATATAAATCAATAGTACAGAATTGAAGTAAACCCTGACATTTAAGATCAATTGATTTTCAAAAGAATTCAGTTAATGAAAAAGAATAATTTTTTAAAAATACATGTTGCTGGGACAACTGGGTAGCCATGCAGTATACATATGGGCCCTTCATACTGTACACAAATATTAACAATAAAATGGATCAAAGACCTAAATATAAGAGCTGAAACTATAAAACACTTGGAAGATTTCATAGGAGTAAATCTTCATGGCTATAGATGAGGCAGTGGTTCATAAATATGACACCTAAAGCACAAGCAGCAAAAGAGAAGGATAGAAAAACTGGAGCTCATAACAATCAAAAGTGCTTATGCTTCAAGGCACCATCAAGAAAGTAAAAAATAATCCACAGATAGATGATAATTAATTTACAAATCATGTATCTAGAAATATAAATAACTTAAATTCAACACTAAGAAGGCAAATAACATAATTTTAAATGGACAAAGATTTGAATAGATATTTCTCCAAGGAAGATATATAAACTATAAGCACATGAGAAGATGTTCAATGTCTTTAACTATCAGAGAAATGCAAATCAGGGCCTCCCTGGTGGTGCAAGGGGTTAAGTACCACACTATGAAGCTATCCACAGCCTCTGCAGCACAAGCTCAATCCCCGTCCTGCCAGGGAGCTACCACATGGCACAGCAGACCTCTCCTGTCCCCCACTGCTCTCCTCAGAGTGTATTCAGTAGATCTACCTGTTCTGCTCCACACTCTGTCTCTGGTGAATCCGCTCTCCCCACACCTCTGGTCTGCACCCAGTTCTTATATGCATAAATAAATAAATCTTGGGCCTCCCGGTGGTGCAGCGGTTGCGCACTGGGCTGCGAAGCTGCCCGCACCCTCTGCAGCGCCAGTTCCATCCCGGCTGCCGGGTGAGGGTCCCATATGGCGGGTAACCTCTCCTGCCGCCGCTGCTCCCTCAGCAGTACTTCGGTCCTTCTGCCTTTCTGCTCCTGCTCTGGCTCTGGTGAATTTTCTCGCCCTCCCACGCTTCTGACTGTACCCAGTGCTTATATAAATAAATAAATAAATCTTTAAAAAAAAAAAAAAAAATAAATAAATCTTTCAAAAAAAAAAGAAATACAAATCAAAACCATAGTGAGTTATCACTCCATGCCCACTAGAATGATGGTAATGAAAAAACAGAGACAAAATAACAAGTACTGATAAGGATGAGGAGAAATTAGAACACTTGTACATTGCTATTGGGAATGTAAAATGGTGAAGCTGCTTTGGAAAACAGTTTGGCAGATTCTCCATAAATATATAATTATAAATATAAGATATATATCAAGACATATAAATATATATTTATGTGAAATGTCCTGTATAGGCATAGCCATAGAGGCAGAAAGTAGATGAGTGGTTGTCAGGTTCCAGGTGGAGAAATGGAGGGGAACAGAGAGACTGACTCTTCTTGGGGAGAACAAATGTTCTGAAATTAGTGGTGAGCGCCACACATCTCTATGAATATACTAAAACCACTGAATTATACACTTGAAAGGGTGAATGTTATGGCATATGAAGTCTATCTCAATAAAGCTGTTACTTCAAAGCAAAACAAGAACAAAGTAAGGCAGCAGGTACTCTGAATGATTCAATATGGCTCCCGCATCAGCTTCATAGGTTGACAGGGCGAGCTAGAGGGGGGACCCACAGCTCTCTGCTCTGTTCTGCCTGAGGCCCTTCCCAGCACCTTAGAGCATGACCCCACTTACCTAAATTCCCTGCCCATGATAGTCACAGCAGCAGTATTGGGGACAACACAGCTAATGTTTACTGTGCATTCCATACCAGGCACTCTTAGAACGGCTAAGAGTTGCGAGTCCCAAAAGCTCTGACCTGGTCACTTCAGGAAATCTCTTGTGCATGACCCACAGAGTGGCCACTGCACTCAGTCTATCCCTTACAACAGCATTCAAGCCCAAGAGCACCAGCCCACCCCCTTGTGCACCTCAGCGCCCTCTTTCCCTCATTTTACCATAGCATGGATAAAGACAGGACAACCAGTTAAATTTTTCATTTGAAATAACCAACAGTCTTTAGTGGAAGTATGTTTCCAATACTGCATTGTCTGAAATCAAAATAGACCTGGGTGTCATGTTACATGGTGTATCTCAGGCAACCCTCTGAAGCAAACTCCAATTGGTCCTGACACAGAAACACTCGCTTCCCCTTGAGAGCTTTGCATTTGCTCTTCTCTCTGCCTGAAATTCTCTTACCCAGAGTCACATGTCTCCCTTTCAAAATGCAGGTCTTTGTTCAAACAGGACCTCATTAACTTCCCAGCACTCCTAGGCCCCCAGCCCAGGCATTCATCACCACCTGACATGTCAGGCATTGGTCTCAATTTGGCCTTCTTCTCAAATACTAGAAACTCCTTGAAGCAGGGCTCTTTTTAATCTGTTATAGACAGGGAGAGGAGCAGCCCAAACCCCGCAAACCTGCCTATTCTAAATGGGTTCTGCCATCCGCCGCATCAACACAAACATAGGAGACTTTAATGGGAAGGAACTTAATATAAAATAGGAAACAATACAGGTAAGGCAAAGAATCTAGTTTCTAAATGAAGCACCCAAGTTACCTGTCCCCTCGCGGGAAAACTCCATCCATATGGGATCGGCCCAGAGCAAGGCCCCAAAGCCTGCCACAAGTCTAAAGCATCTTCCAGTGGGACCCACAGAAAAGGGAAACAACCAGACAAGGCGGAAGGAAAAGAGCAAAAATCAACACAGATAAAAGCTGCCATGGTCACCTCCCCATGGGTCTCACCCACATCTGTGTCACCCAGCTACGACCAAAAGACAAGCACAGTTTCTTCACGTGTCTCTAGGCTCCATGCCCCTCCTCCAGGTCTCCTGGCTCCATCCAGCTTCCTTCCTCAGTCTCTTCTGCAGCTTCTCCTCCCTGCTCAGCTCCACCCTCCCTTGGGTGGGGCAGGGAACCCCCCTTTCCTGGGACCACCCTGTTAAAATCCACTGCTGCCTTCCAGTGCTTAGAACAAGACCTGGCAAAGAACAGACAATAAATGACTAGCTGTTATAGGGCAGCCCCGATATTGAACGGGTCCTGGCTGTGGGTCCACACCCGCGCGCGCTTAAAGGGACTTATTAATACTCCACTACAGACACAAAAAGGTTAATAAAAGGTTTATTTACAAGGGAAAAGGAAATAAGGAAATGTACAACTCAGGAGAAAATAGGGAATAAAGTCTTTTATGCGTCCTACCCGATCCGAAGACCTGGAAACCCAAAGTCACTCTCAGCTGGCCTGACACTGCGAGCTGGCGGGGAGCCAAAATGGGGAACCCCAAAGCCCACGTGTCTGGCTTTATACCAACCTGGCTGCTTAACCCCACCCTCAGGTCCAGCCACCTTCCTTTGGTGGTGATGGGATTTGGAGTTCCAGTGTCTTTGGCTTTGGCCTGGGGGGGGGTGGAGTCCACAAAGCCTGTATGGAATTAGCTTTAGGACATCCTTTCCCCCTAATATACCTACTGAATGAATATACAAAGTGTTGTGCCTGGGTTATCTCAATTAACATTCCAAACAGCCCCATGAGAAAAACGCTGCCATCAAATGGTGTTTCACAAATGAAGCATCCGGAGACACAGAAAAGCCAAATAATTCATGCAAAGCCCACTGCAGTCAATGTGGGGGCTGCGTCCAGACGCAGGAGTCAGGCCCTCAGCCACGTTCTGACCCACCTCACCGCACCAGTTCATTGTCACCAACAAAGCAGCAAGATGGAGTTAAGGCAGCAGGTGGTTTCTGTCTCCCTCCCATTTCAATTATTCAGAGTTAGAGGAAGAAAGGAGCCACCAACACATGAGTGTCTATATTTGTAACAAACACTTAGTCCCAGAATTTAATTGTACTTCTTGGTTTGCCCACACATTATTGTTGTTCAATATAAAGTGTATCAAAAGCCACTTAAGCATCCATATATATAAAGAAGTTCGTGTGGGTTTTTGTACTCACTTTCATTTCTTCTTGAACATCAGGATTGCGGAAATTTAAATCAGGTTGTTCTTTCTTAAATTGGTGAAAATAGCATTGTTTTCGTACTTCATCAAAGTGCCAACTGGAGTCTCCGTATACACTTAACTAGCACACAGAAAACAGAAAGGCAGTTCCTTATCATTGTTCAAATGATGGTATTGCTGACAAAGAAATGAAAATTGCTTTCACTGACCCCGTATAAGGTCAGTGATAAAATCTCTAGAATTTCCTTCTAGGGAGGACACTAGGTAAATCAATTCCTCGAATATCACCCCCTGACCTAATGCCCCACAAAGGGGTTGTGAAGTATTTGTATAGAAGTTATTTATAACAACCACAATAGCAATCAATGCTCTCAAACTCAAAATAGGGCTGATTTAAGGAACAGACTCATATTTTCTTGAATCTTTTGTCCAGACTCAACTCCCACTTGTGAAGAAAAATAAAGAGCGGTCACTCTGAGAAAATGACACATTCCATTGGTCTTCGAACTTGAATCCAGATAAGGTGAATATTTAAATTATATCCTCAGAAAATCATTAGAGCCATTCTCTTAAAACGACTAACCCTTGGGGATATAAAGGAACCTAGCAACTTCAAATCTTGGTCCCCAGCAAGTATGTGACACTGGAGCTGCTTTCATCTTTTCAAAAATGTTCACATCCTTGGCTTCATGACATCACTCTCCTGCTTCCTTCTTGTATCTCCCACAACTCCTTTTCAGTCTCTTAAATGTGAGAACTCCTCCCAGCACTACCTTCAGTAAATGTTAAGAGAGCATCTGGACAACATTTAAAAACTGAGGCACTACACATAAATCTTTTCTATTTAGTCAGAAGACCTAGTCATACTAGCTCCACATTCCCATGGCAACAACTGGCAGAAGCTAAGTAGTAGCTGCTGTCTTTTGAGGAAACACACCTTTACCACATGAACCTCCTGGACCACCCAGACACTGACCAGGGTAAGATATTTACAGTATGTGTAACTGAGAAAAGGTTTGTATCCAGAATACAAAAAGAGCTCCACCAATCAATTTCAATGGGACAATTCAAAGAAAATGAGGAAAGAAAAGAAAACATAGAGGCGTTTCACAAAAATAGAAAATCAAGTGAATAAATATATGAAAAAATGTTCAACATCATTAGTAATTAGATAATTACAACATTAATAATGAGATAAATCATCATTAGTAATGAGTAAAATTAAGACCTCAAAATGATTACAATTTATGTTTACTTGGCAAAAATCAAGTCTGGTAGTACTAGAATTAATGAAAATATTTCTTTCTTATACTGCTGGAGGGATATAAGTTGGTACAACCATTTTGCTAATCAATTGCATTATGTTGTAGAGTCAAGCATGCAGTTTCCTGTACTCAGCAATTTCACTTCCTGTCATAGTCATGGGTAAGAAGTTAGTAGTTAGTGCACCTTGTGCCCAAGGAGTAATAAATTAATGAGGGTTTACTCTCATTAATAGTATCGCTGGTAACAGTAAAAAAAAAAAAAAACCTAGAAACAGGTTAACTGCCCATCAACTGAAGAGTGGATAAGTAAATCATGGCATATTCATGCTCTGGAATATTATACAACAGTGAAAATATATGAATCACAATTACAGAAACTACATGAATGAATATTAAAACACAATGAGTAAAAAAAGCTAGTTATAAAGACTACTTATAGCAGGACAATTTTCATAAAGTCCAAAACAAGAGAAATAAATAATTTTTACAATATATATAGCATATGTACTGTAGTACAACATAAATCAAACACTTGAAAAATCCATAATTCAAGGCAGTGGTTACCTCTGAGATGGAGCAGGGGGAGCAGGGGACAGAGAGGAGCTCACAGTGTGGGTCAATATATAAGTCCTTAATTTGAGGATGGGTTATTAATGTTCACTATATTATTTATTATCTTCCCTAGCTTAGATATATATTACATTTATTTTAAATAGTTTTATTCAAGTATTATTGAATATACTCGACTGTCCATACTTAAGAATACAATTTGATCAATTCGGACATATGTATATAGGCTGACAAACTTCTCACCACAGTCAAAATAATAAACATATCCATCTTTTAATACTTTATCCCATTCTTCATCTCCTTCCCATCCCTAAACTACACTAATCTGCTTCCTGTCACTACAAATTAGTGAAATCAATAGTATATTCTCTTTTATCTGGCTTCTTCCACACCTCATAGTTATTTTGAGATTCATCCAAGGTGTTGCAAGGAAGAGCTCATTCCTTTTTACAGTTGAGTAGTATTCCATTGTATTGTTCTACCACCGGGTGTTTATAAATCTATGATATATTACAAATATCCCTGTATGAATAAACTATTGTATTCTGAAAACCACAATCTTGGCTATAGTGGAGAACTGAAGGAAGGACAGGTGCCAAAAGATCTGGCTGTTGTAGTCCTAGAGGCACAAGATGATATAATTTGAAGCACAAACAGTGGTTTTTAAAAGCAGACTATGGAGTTGGATTGACAGGATCCGATCCTTAGCCTTTTGTTGAATAGTAGCATGACCTTGGATAAGGTGCTTAACATTTCCCTGCCTCAACCTGCCCAGCTGTAAAGCAAGAATGAAAACCTAACTATGATTGTAGGAGGATTAAATAGTAAATTTAAATCATTTGCACAGAGGCTGACACATTTGCATTTAGTAAATGTTTGCTAATCTTATCATTTAAGGAAGTGAGTCTATTTGGAAAAATAAAAAATCAAAGAGGTAAAACTGCCAAGAATTGCCAATGACCTGTTTAGCACAGGCTTTGACACATTGTTAAGTGCTCTTGGGTCAGCTAAAAGTTCAGACCCAGGAGCCAGCCTGTTAAATGCTTATAGAGAAGGGCTAGAAGAGATTGACTGGAAAAGGAAAGATGATACAGAGTAAAAGGCTCTGCAGCAGCAGGAGAAAACGTGAAGCCAAGCAGGTACAAGAAACTGTCCTAGGACACAAGCAGACTTGCCAGGTGAAACACAGAACACACAGATAGATCTGGTCTTTAGATAAACAATGAACATGGGCTAGGCGCAGCGGTAGAGCTCTGTTGCAAAGCTGCCCGCAGACTCTGCAGCGCGGTTCAATCCCGGCTGCTGCCACCGGAGGAGGGTCCCGCATGGCGCGCAGACCTCTCCTGCCGCCCGCTGAAGCAGTGTACTTCGGTCCTTCTGCCTGCTCTACCCGCTCTGGCTCTGGTGAATTCTCTCACCCTCCCGCGCTTCTGACTGTACCCAGTGCATGTATACAAAAACACAAAACAAGCAAACAAATAAATAGATCATGCCTCTATTAAAAAAAAAAAAAAAAAAAAAAAAACAATGAACAGCTTTTAGTATAAGTATGGTCCCTGCAATATTTTATACAAAAAAATACTTTGTTTATCTAAAATTCAGAATCACCGGGCTTCCTGGATTTTTATTTGTAAATCGGGTAACCCCAGATAGGAGGCACGTGGCCCTCTGTTGCAAAAGACGGAAGTAGGAAGAGGGTGGGAATGAAGGCAAGCAGGTTCAATCAATGGCTTCTGTTCTCTCTTTAAAGTAGTTTGCTGTAAGAGTGATAAGAGGAGGCAGATAGGATTTTTGAAGAAGAGGGAGGGCATGTTGATCAGCTGGATTTAGTGAAATTCCCAAGAAGATTGGATAGCTCAGTTCAGGCGGGGACAGTGGTTGTGCGATGTCTTCAGAGCCTCATACCAAGGTTCCCACACAGAGAAAGTGGATGCTTGGGTTGTGTTGATTGGGAGAGGCGAAAAGTCAGAATGCAAAGGTTTCTGAAGAGCAGCAAAACAGTTACCGAACTAATTGGACATGGAATCTGAACTGGAGAGAGTAAGAAGGCAAGGAGAGAGGGAGCGATTAATAGAGAATATAGGTTTTAAACTGCTAGACTACATCAGCTGTACAATGAAAATAGAAATGCAAACATTAGCAGACTTGAGTACTTATTTCTATTTCCTTGGGAAGCATTTCTCCCTTCCTATAAACTATACCCATTATTTTTTTCCTTCAAAAGGCTTTACAAATAACTGTTTAATCACTGAATACCTGTCCATTTTCCCTTTGTAAATCAGGTAAGCTGTTACTTACCCAGTTGTTGGGTGGTATGACTATGCCATTTGCCAGGGTACAGTTGTGCCAGATATAATAATCGGCATATTTCCCTTCCTGCTTCCGACTCAACTGAAACCAGGCATGTTTGTCACTTGTGTGGTTTGGTATGAAATCAATGATTAATTTCAAACCTGAGTGAAAACATTTCAAATGTTAGGAAAAGATTGTTAGAATAGTGGGTGACAATTAAGGAAAAATGCTTTAAGTAAACATCTGGGGAAATGTTTTTCTCAAACCCTCCTCTCATTCCACCCACTTCCATTCACTTACCTTTATCGTGTATGGCTGCAACTAGATTCTCAAAATCTTTCATAGTTCCAAAAATGGGATCGATTTCTCGGAAATCTTCAACGCCATGTCGGAAATCTTTAAGGGGTGATTTATAAAATGAAGTGATCCAAAGAGTTTTTATATTTAAAGTTGTGATGTAGTCCAGCTTATCCTGAATACCTAAGGGGATAAAGTCAAGTCCATGAGAAATAAAGTTTGGTTTTTGGTTAGGAGATTAAAATAAGATAATGAGATAATGATGCCTAAAATTGAAATGCTTGAGACAGAAACCTTTTGAACTTTGCTATTTGATAAAATTCAAATAACAAGGTTTAGTTCTACCAAAAAACATCCAATTAGTTTTTAGCAACAAACTTTGACTTTTAACATAGATGCATAACATTAAAAAAAACTATCTGTGGCTTGTTCATATTTTACATTTAAAACCAACCAAGGTTTTACTCTACACATGGTTTCTGCACAGTCAATCAAGGCCAGGGACTGGGCTAAGTTCCAGGATACAAAGAATAACACAAAAAAAATGGGTCCCTTGTGGTCGGCTGGTCTAAAGGGCACCCACCAGTAAAGAGCCACTTGTCACATGTGGCTATGGAGCACTTGCAATGTGAAAAGTCTGCACTGCTGTCAATAGAAAGCACACACAGACGTTTGAAGTACCAAAAAAAAAAAAAAAAGTAAATTAGCTCATAAATATTTCTTTTTTTTAAAGATTTATTTATTTTTATTTATATAAGCACTGGGTACAGTCAGAAGCGTGGGAGGGTGAGAGAATTCACCAGAGCCAGAGTGGGGAACAGAACAGGCAGACTGACGAAATACACTGCTGAGGGGAGCAGAAGACGTGGCAGGAGAGGTCTGTCGCGCCATGTGGGACCCTCAATGGCAGCCAGGGATTGAACCAGCACTGTAGAGGCTGCGGGCTGCCTCACAGCCCAGTGCTCAATCGCTGCGCCACCAGGGGAGGCCCAGCTCATAAATATTTTATATTGAAATTAAATATTGGATATATTGGATTAAGCAACACATTATTACATTTAATTTCACCTGTTTATTTTTCATTTTTTAAAGTGGCTCCTATTATATCTGTGGTTTGTACTCTATTTCTTTGGCCAGTGCTGGTCTAGGAAGCAAATATAGGCAGGAAGGGGATGGTGGGGGATTCCAGAAGTGCTGGCAACTTCTGAAATGCTGTATAGAATATTTTCACACTGCAAGGTCTCAGCCCAAGGCTGCAGGACAGAAGAAGCCAATGGCCCAGAAGGCAGTGATAGAAAGGTCAGGAGGATGTGGGCAAGGGTAGGTCAGAGAGAGGGACTTCTAGGCAAAGAAAACTAAGTAGGCAGGACAGTTGCACAGAGTACAGGGCCAGGGAAGGAGAGAGTGATGAGGAGAAAAAGATGTTTAAACCAATATTCACACTCCCTTCGATTTGAACATTTTTTCTTGTTGGCTTATATAGGAAGCTAAGAATTAATATAGAAGAAAATTCTAGGCCTGACTGAGAAGAGATACAATAATGAAAACTTGTACTTGGAACCTTGTAGGATAATTGCTGTCTGTGTGTGTTGGGGGTGGAGAGGGTGGGGAGACTTCTAGTTCAGAGTCCTAAATGCAGATTCAGAGACCTGAGTGTAGTGTTCAATCTCCTTTTCCCCCTAAGAACCCCATGTGGCTTCCTGCAATCAGAGGTCACACAGGCGGCTGGAGGTCATGGAGACCAAAGCACAGAGTTGCCCAGTTCCTGGCATCCGGGCTCTTCCCCTATCACAAACTGCTTATTTGGCTCTCTCTACCCCTCAGTTCCCCCATAGGGGCGGTGGTGAGATCTCAGAATGTCAACAGACCACAAAAGGATTCTGACTTAAGTCAGAACAATACACCTTAGGAACAGCATAAAAACAGGGTGATAAAAACAAAGTGACTCGACAGACACAAGAAAAACAAGGGATTCCAGGCCTGTACTTAGGACAGAAGCAATCAGCAACACAAACTGCAAGCTGGAATGGTCCCTTCAAATAATAACAAAATCCCCTCAACCCTGAGAACAAATACCTAATGTTTCTGGAAGTAGCCAGTTCCTCGTGGAAAAGTTATTGGAGATGACAAATGTAAAGGCTGATTAGTTCTGTCCTGTTTACAGGAATTTGGGGGCTATACAGGAGATTACAAAGGAAGGGCCAGGGAGTAGGGAGTGTGATTTTTTTTTTTTAATTTTAGCTCTGTTCTGTCAAGTTTTGCTAGGCACTTACTAAGTGAAAAGCCAGGGTGCCAGCTAGGGCTATGCAGGGGTATGTGGGGAAGGGAATCACCCAAGATCTAGTAAGGCAATTCACACAAGTCAAAACACCACTGGCGCTCTGGGGCGGGGCGCATGCACTGGCTGGGAGGATTATAGGGCGGAAAGAAGGATTAATGCAAGAAATGGGTTTGAACTGCACCTTGGAGGACAGATAGTATTTCAATTAGTGAAGATGCAGGAAGAAAACAGGGGATTCCAGGTCTGTACTCCCAACAGAAGCAATCAGCACACAAGAAAATAATAGGAACAAAAATGAAATTCCTTTTATTAGGGTTTTTTATTTACTATTATTTTACTAAGGAGAGTTGAAGATTTTAGGTTTATTTCTAATATTTTAAAGTTAGATTAATCTTATTCTCAGCTCCCATACTCTATTATATCAACCTGTTTTATTTTCTTCAATCCAAATAGCATTATCAATACAAATAGCGTGTTTCCTATTGTTGCCCTTAAGGGTGGCCAAATCAATAAATTGTCCAGGGCAGCTCCAAATTATCCTTGCTCTGGCATAATTTTAATAACATTCTTGGTTGACAATAAATTATAATGATATTCTACACATAAGCCACAAGAAATTATTAACATTAAAAAATAATTTTGCTTATATTTTTAACCATTATGGATGCTTTTTGGGGGGTCATTAATTCAAGTAGTGACCATCACACAGTTATGCCTTTTCCCCCCTCCTTCGTTTTTCAGGTTTTAAACTTGAAAAACACAGCCTACACCTTTTAAAAACATCACTCAATTTTTACCTAAAATGCTATTTGAAGCTACTAGAAGGGAAGGGAGAGTAGGGTGGGCACAAATGGGGGGTGGGGGCGTGCCCAGAGGTCTGGAGTAAAGGACTGTGGGTGCCTTGGTGGTGGGTGTGGGTGGCGGCATACATCTGAGGAGGTGGGAACCTGTTCTAAATCATACCCAGTGCTGCAAAACCAATGGTACCTTAATTAAATAATAAAAATGAAATTAAAAGGTGCTATCTAAGTTGTAGTCCCTAATGAGAAAGTCTCAGCCAGATTTCCAAACTAGCCAATGCATGTACTGAGAATGCAATTCTGAACAGTCACTCGGAGATAATCAGCTATAAAGTACACAGAGGCAGGAAACAGATTGCAGGAGGGAAGCTGCCCCGTGTAAGAAGTTAGAACTGATGACCAATCAAGCATATGTACTTAGCTCGCAGTAAATTTAACAACTCTTTGGTGGTAAAGTGACCTTTCCTCAAATGGGAAACTTACTAACTTTACGTTTGACTGTGTGGTTTAAAATACCATAAACAGGGCCTCCCTGGTCGCGCAGCGGTTGAGCGCTCGGTTGCGAACCTGCCCGCGGCCTCTGCGGCTCTGGTTCGATCCCCGGCTGCTCCCCAGCCACCAGCGGAGGGTCCCACATGGCGCGCAGACCTCTCCTGCCGCCCGCTGCTCCCCTCAGCAGTGTACTTTGGTCCTTCTGCCTGCTCTGCTCCCCGCTCTGGCTCTGGTGAATTCTCTCACCCTCCCGCGCTTCTGACTATACCCAGTGCTTGTATAAATAAATAAATAAATCTTTAAAAAAAAAAATACCATAAACAAGGGGAATCTTGGCCTGACCAAGCCAAACGGAATGTGCTTACCCCACAACCTAGGCAGAGTTGCGTTTCAAGGACTGAGAGAGCTATGATCACCCTGAAAACCCCCCCCCCCCCCCCCGGTACCTTTTAGATCTCCGTTCCCATCGCCGTTGCTGTCTTTAAAAGATCGCGGGTAGATCTGGTACATGGGCCCCGCCTGCCACCAGTCCAGGCACTTGGGCGAGATGGCGATGATGGCTATGGTGGCCGCGACGAGCGTGAGCACAGAAGCCACAGTGAGCCAGAAGAGGACCTCGCGGGGCACCCGGTAGCGAGGCTGGCGCGAGAACTGGAACAGCACCTCCTTGGGCATCCCCGCGTAGGGCCGAACGACCTTCCAGTCGGACTCTCCGGGGTCAAGGATGCCCACCGCCCTGGGCTGCGGGCTGTCCCCTGGGCTGCCCGGACCAGGGTCCATATCCAGGTTGTCTTCATTTTGGACAAACCCGTTGTTTGTCCGGCATGCCTTCACGCGCATTGCGATGGAGTCTTGCTTGTTACTCTTCTCCTCCATGGCTGAGCTTTTTTTCCCTTAGGAGTGTCTTCCTTCAATAACAAAGGTGGAAAGGTGGCTTGCTGAAATGCTTGCTTGTGTTAATGAACTTTGCGTGGTTTATAAATAAACCTACTGGACAAAGTCCAGAGGAGGGATAAAGGGCAAAGGTGAAAGGGGGGTTAAAAAAATTCTCTTTACACCTGTGAAGCTGATGTCGCTGCAATTACAATACCGCGGGGTGCAGACATGCAATAGGGCAGGGGCAGAGAGGAGGAGAAATGGGATGAAGCGGCAGGGTTCCTTGCCATTTAAGGTATTACTTGATAAGTACACCAGTGTTCACAGCACAGTTATTCACAGTCGCCAAAGGTGGAAACAAACCAAATGTCTGTCAATGAATGAATGGATAAAAAACATGTATCTATTTTAAGACTTATTTACTCATGTGTAGAAGAACCGGGGTACAGGCCAGATGTTGGGGAGGGTGAGAGGATTCACCAGAGACAGAGCAGGGAACAGAACAGGCAGATGGACCGAAGTACACTGCTGAGGGGAGCAATGGGTGAGACAGGAGAGGTCTGCCGTGCCATGTGGGTATCTCTACAGCCACTAGGGATCGAACGGCAGTGGCACAGTTCACAGTGCTGTACTCAAGCACCTGTGCCACCTGGGAGGCCTGGAATATTATTCAATCTTGAAAAGTAAAGAAATTCTGGTACATGCAAAAATGTGTATGAACCGTGTAATCATTGCTAGGCGAAATAATTCAGACTCAAAAGGACAAATATTATATGATCGCAGTTACATGAGGTACCAAGACTAATTCATAGAGACAGAATGAGATGATGAAAAAGTTCTGGAGTGCATAGTGATGACGGTGCCCAACAATGTAAGTGTGTTTAATATTGCTGTATTGTATACTTAAAAATGGTTTGAGGCAAAATTTATGTTATATATATTTTAGCACAATTTTTAAATTAAATTTTTAAACATTTTTTTTTCTTTTTACCTAGGTATGAGAAAAAGAAACAAATACTGAGTTTTGCAAGAGGGACAGGCTTTTTTTGTGTGTTTTGTTTTGAAGTTCTCTTCTCTTCCTACAAATTCAGGAGGAAAAGGATCTGGAGACTGAAACTCATTTTATTTTACTTCAGTTCAAGTCAACCCTGTAAAGAGCCATTTCTATGCTCAGTTGCACCCCAGGTGACTTCAGTCATGTTTCCTAAATTGAGAAAAGGAAATGACTGCTCACTCTTGGAAGTATTTTCCAAAGAGGCCTTGGTGGGGTGGGTAGGATCCTACTTATAGAAAAGTTCAAGCGCTTTACTAGATCTAAACTGTTTATAACATGAACACTAAAGTGTTGTTTAATCATTGGCTAATATAAACTACATTGCAACCCTGAAGAAACTGCATTTAAGTTAGGTGTGTTTTTCTAGAAGACTCTGCAAGCTTTAAAACAATATGGTGATTCATCATTTCCGTTCAATCACTGGCCCTTAAAGAGCCCTCTTAATCTTTTGATTAGATAATAAGATTTTTTCTTTTAAATAAGTGGTTATCTGAATTCCTAATATTACTCAATTCCTAATATTACTTACCAGCAGTATGTGGTACAGAAGAATGAATTTGGCATAGTTAATTCTTTAAATGAGTAAATCCCAATACCTGACTTGTTCAATGTATTTAATAAGTGTGTGGAGAAAAAGGAACCCTCCTATACTGTTGGTGGGAATGTAGATGGTCTAGTCCCTCTAGAAAAGAGGATGAAGTTTCCTCAAAATATTAAAAATAGATCTAGCATATGATCTAGCAATTCCATTCCCAGGACTCTACGCGAAGGATGCAAAACATTAATTTAAAGTGCTAGAAGCACATGTATGTATTGTAGCACTTTTTACAATAGCCAAGTTATAGACATAACCTAAGTATACAATGACTGAGGAGTGGATTAAGATGTGATATAGTTACACAATGGAGTATTACTCAGCTATAAAAGGAGATGCAATCGTACCATTTGCAACTATGTGAATGGAACTGAAGGGGATTTTGCTAAACAAAGTAAGTCAGAAGAAGAAAGACAAGTATCAGATGATTTCACTCATATGTAGAATGTAAAACAATGAAATGAACTGACAAAACTGCATCAAAATAAACTCCATATAAACTTTGAAAAAACCCATATAAACTTTAGTGGATATTTGTTATTTTAAAAAGAAAACAAAGCTATATGGTTTACCTCATTCTTTATGCCAAATAAGTTCCAGGTGAATCAGATTTAAAAGTTTAAAAGTACAACTGTAAGAATTCTGGACAGAAATTTGTGTATTTAAAATAATAATCTTAGAGTTATTATATGAACTACCACACCTATTATATATTATATGAAATTATATGAAATACTATATGAAATATTATATGAAATACCACACCTAGTCCCATAAAGGAAAAAATTGGTAAATTTTATTCCAGAAATTAAAAACAAGCAGACAAAGCCAAAAGGATAAATGACAAACTAAAGGAAAATATTTGTAACACATTTGACAAGATAATTTTCATACTATAAAAATCGATTTTGTAAATTCTCACCAAAAAATCAGTAAAGGAAGAATGGATATAGACAGTTGGCAGAAAAAACATACAAGTGGTTAATATACATAAAATGTAAATTTTGAGCCTCCCCTGGTGGCGCAGCGGTTGAGCGCCTCTGCAGCGCCAGCGAGGGTCCCACAAAAAAAAAAAAAAAAGTAAATTTTACTCAAAATGAAATGGGAGCAAAAATAAAAGGATATACTAATTTACATATTATAATTTTGGTAAAAATGAGAAAGTTTAATATCAATTTTATCAAAAACTATATAAGGAACAATCACAAATTTGTGGCAGGAACATAAATTAGTACAATCTTTGTACAGAAAAACTTGGGTGTATTTATCAAAATTACAAGTTGCATAACAACTGTATATCAGAAATTACATGCAAAATTTTATTTTGATTATGTAACCAACAAGTTATATATGTACAATGATGAAAACTCCAACAAAATTAGAAGCAATCTAAATATCCATCATACAGAAACATTTCAATAAATTATGACATATTCAGACAAAGGAATACCACATAGCTCCTACAAAGAATGAGTTTATCTGGACTGATAAATGTCCAGAATGTTAATGAAATAGAAAAATTTCAGAACAGTATATATAATATAATCAGAATTGTGCTTGGGAAAAAAATGGTATATGCACAGTAAATTTTCAGCTAGTGGTTGACCAGGAACTGAGAAACAGAGAATGAAGGTGATAGCCTTGGACTCTTAGTTTTCATCTTATCCTGATTGAGTAATTTGCCCTCAGCTTACATGATTTTTGCAATAAATAGAGGGGAGAAAATGTTTATATCCTTGAACTCAGTATTTCCACCTCCAAAGGAAATTATCCAAGACAAGAACAAAAAGTAGTGTATAACAGATTTATTAATTACATTATTACTTATAATACCAAACATTGGGAATAACTTAAATGTTCAATGACATAAGACTAGCTAAATAATTATATGCATATGATAGAATATCCATCATTGAGCATATTTGCAAAGGTTTTAATAACAAGAAAAAAAAATCTCACATCATTTTGATTGTGAAAATATAGGATATAAATAAATTGTTCCAATGATGTGAAAAAGAATGCCATGCATATTAAGTCTCATTAGGAAATGTTTAGTGTTTATTTTTGGGTTCTAAGGTTATGACTGACATTCATTTCATGCTCTAAACTTTTTTAAAGACTTGTTCTAATTTATCTACAGTTAATACGTATTACTCTTTCACTGGAAAAAATTCAGTTAAGGATCCCTGAGTTGGGAATCTATCTAAAACTTCCAGGCAGGTGGCAGAGTTCAGATTAAAGGGATTCTTTCTAGCAAATCCATCCCAAATTCATAAACACCCTCTATTGACATCTAAATGAAAGAGAAAAATGCAAACTTTCAAAGGCAAAAAGAAAACATGGGTTCAATGAACAAATACTGAACCACTGGAGAGATGAGTAAGTTGGTAGTAATCTGGAAAAGATATCCACAGAGCCAAGAATTTCAAACAAGTATTAACTTTCTTTAAAGAGATTTTAAAGGAAATATGAGTTGCAGAAAGTCAAACACACTGCTGTTAAAAGTTATAAGCATGAATAACAAAGAAGAACACTAAGGAAGCTTTAAGAACTATCCTGGAAAATCAGAACTAAGACTGAGAGATAATAAAGATAAACTAGTTCAGTAAATTCAAATCCAAAGTAAGTCACACAATCATAATAAAGCAAAGATGAACTATCTAGAAAACAGATGTCAGAACAATGGGGAATACCACAGAAACCAAAAACACCCTACAATTGAAGAAACAGACATATAGAAAGCAGTAATCAATGAATATATTAATATATGTGTATGTATACACACACATAAACATATATATGTATATATATATGTATACTGCATTTCAAAGCCCTAGTATCAAGACTTCCACTCAGCAGCAAGCCCCTTGCAGTAACACAAGGTGTATAATCTGTCATATCTGTAAATATTCAAAAAAGAAGGATTATTTCTATCACATTTACCTGTTCACAGCCTCCGTGAGATAGGGTAGGATCTGCTACATAGTCATCTTTAAATTTCCAGCATCTACCTCAGTGCCTGGTATGTTATTCACATACCTCACTGCCTGGTATATGAATAAAATAGTAAATACAGCTAGAACGAACCCTAAGATGAAGGAAAGGGAAGGGGAGAAAGAAGGAAGTAGAAGGGAAAGAACAGAGGAAAGAGAAATAGAAAAGTGAAAAGCACATTTTGCACAGAAACATAGATTCCTATCACTTAGCCAGTGTTCTTGCCTTGGCACAGTTTAATGAGTGAAATTTTGAGTCAAAGGAAGGCAGATTCAAGCCCTGTCTCTACCATTTGCTGTGTTTGATTGTAAACAAATTTGCCAATTTCTCTAAGCCTCTACCTCAGCTGTAAAATTTAATTTTACTCCAGGATTAACATTATAAATATAGTTCAGACTAAGATGTTTTTGGAAATAGTTCTAATTAGAAGGAAACAGAAAAATAGATTTAT